ATTTGTAGATCTGGATATTCCCATCTAAGAAATATTAATCGTATTCGTAAATCATTATCCCAATCTGATACTGAAAAGTTGGTACATGCATTCATATCTTCTCGCTTAGACAGCTGTAATTCATTATTGTCTGGTCTCCCTGTAACTAAGATAAAACCTCTTATTCGTGTACAAAATGCAGCAGCCCGCCTTGTCACTCGTGCTCGAAAATATGACCACATTACAGACATTTTTATTAAACTTCATTGGTTACCAGTTGTACAAAGAATCAATTTCAAATTACTTTTACTAGTGTATAAATCTTTGTATGGTTTTGCCCCAAATTATCTATGTGAATTAATCGAATTTTATGTACCTAGTCGTAGTTTAAGATCTGAATCAAAGTTTCTTATTAAAACTCGTCAGGTGTGTAGTAAAAAGTCCAAGGTGTTATACAAAGACCGTGCTTTTGAAAATTTAGGTCCTAAACTTTTTAATGAATTACCTCTGTCTGTTCGTTCTAGTCCTTCAGTAGACATTTTTAAATCCAGACTGAAAACACACTTATTTAAATGTGCTTTTAATATTTGACTGATTGTTTATTGTATCAGCGCCTTTGATCTTCATATGTTGGAATTGTTGCGCTTAATTAAATAAAGTTATTATTATTATTATTATCATAGATTGTGATTAGTGGTTGAACGAATGGCTATAATCCAGAATTAAGGTAATTAATTTGACTTCCATTATCTGCTTCCCAAACTTAAACAATTCTATTATCAGCGGATTTTAGATCTATATATGTTTATATTTTATCGGGACTATTCAGTGCATCTATTAAATCACTAATTATGTCGTATATGGCGTAATTTCGTGTACGACAACTTATTGTCTGAGTGTCTGCCAAACGGCAATGAATCCTACCATGGCAAGTCAACGCGCATCGCAATAAATTTGACGCGATTGAAGACAAAATCACCGTCTGCGGAAACTAGTCGTTGAGTATATACGTTAATTGCTCTATAGTTCAAACGCATAGGCTGCTGCTTTGTGTGGGATTGTACACGTTGTATCATGTAGCGAGGATGTAGCCATGCGCAATTAGTCATTGAATTGATGATATTATATTTCGATCCGTGCTTGATGTGCTAAAGCAAGTAAATACGTTCGCATACGTGGCCTGCGTTCCTAATAACGAGTATAATGTCAGAAGAGTATGAGTAGTAGAAAAACAGAATGGTGGTAGGGGTACCAGTATAAAATAAGTACACATTAAAAAAAGCTAATATTCAAATTATAAATCAACACTTTTCTTAAATGAAAGCTACGCGGTGTCTATAAAGTATTTTTCGAGATACAGATATTTCATAAAGGTTGTTTTTTCCCAAATATTTCCACACATAGTCCCTCTAAACAAATGCATATCTGTGTTTATAATCTTGTATTCTAAGAAAATAATAGAAACGCAAACATAAAGCCATTAACAACATAGTGAAACAATCAGCCAAATGTTTGTATCCTAGCCGTGGGAAATATTTTAAGTAAAAGCAAGTTTTATTACAAATATCAGGTTTATAGACAATTAATGGGTGACCATCTGTTAGGTTAATGTTGAATTGTTATTGAACAAGTATATTGTTCAATCAATCATAAGTGTGCTGCCAGTGTAAGTTCTTACATTGCACATTAAGCACTTGAGTAATAAAACAAACCTTGATAGAAAACAGTGTTCTGATAATTAAGCAATTTGAGTGTGTTATTTACTATTGTTATAATATAAAACCGGATCAGCATAATTATGAAGACATCTATCGATTAATTTCAAACAAAAATTAGTATTGCTCATTCATCGTATTTATCTTTATTTCTAATTTTGAGATTTTGTATTTGATCTCTATGGTTTACTGCATACCGCCTACGATTCGTCGGCGTCTTTATCGGATTCTATCATAATACTCGCGACAGAGTAGAATGTAGCGCAACGAGCGTGGACAGTTTTGTTTTTTCACAATTTCACAAGTAAACTGACAATCAAGATGGACATTTGTGTTCAGATTTCTTTGAATATATTATTATACTGAGATTTTTTTTACTCAGCATATTAATCATGTTGAGTACGTAACCTACTGTGACTATTATGGCGACAGACGAGGTTTCAACTAATGTAATTATCCACGTGTCTTTGTGCGTCACAATTTGTCAATTAGAAGTCCAGTTGTGCTGCTGATGAAACGTTGAAATTAGCCTGCTTTGACAAGTACGTATTCTTCGTTTACTTTCACGACAAATTACCCAAATTAACCTTCGTTATCTACGTTTACTTTAGAATCAGTGTGGCTCCTTTAAAAAAACAGTTTCTATTATCACTGTTATTTGTATACTGTTTTATCCTTTTTTCAATTTGTTCTAAATTAGTTTACATGTTTTGTTTTGGTTTAAAGTCTGTTTCATAATTGTGTGTTTGTCTGTAAAAAAATAAAAATATATTGCGTTATTGTTTGACAACCAAAAATTATCAAGTACTGCGACTCGTTAATGCTTTGTGAAACGCAAACGACGATGACGTCCACTAACTGACGTATGTACGCTAAAAGACACAGACTTCTATCTCAAAACGCAATTTCGAGTAAGCATTAGCACTGTATGTACAGTATAACTTTACCAGAACTGGACACCATTATAATTATCAAAAGTGTAATATATTCCAACTACTCCAGCAACCAGTTTTAATCAAATAGAAATCATCTTGTATCGCCGACTTAGTGACTAGTCGGGACAAATGTATTTTTTCTTTTTTTTCCTCGTCATTTTCGTTACCCAGACACGCTGCAATATCAAATAACATAGCTGGCCAATACGAGGATTAAGTACGTAGAACATATTTTATTAATGTCGGGCTCTATTTGTTCTGTGTGTTGAAATAGAAAAGACACGCCACAATGCATAAATGTACGGGTGGTTTCTCAGAATCATTCACGGCGCCCGCCACACATGTGTCACATTATATTAAAACTCACGTTCCATTGATTTGATGAGTGAAACCGACGCTTTAATGTTATGTTACGGGGATAACGCTGTGTCATATTTCGCTTTTGAGAACACGGATTTACAACGTGAACGTTGCCGGGTGATTGATTATACAACGCAATGTAATTTAATAAGCGCAAACACACACATTCAAAGGATTCAAGATGTATTTAAAGGACAAATGCATCATCATATTTTTGATTCAATGTTGTAATTCGACAAATGCTGATTATTCTTGTGATTGCGGTTAATTATCATTTTATTGTATTACTTTTCATTTTATTGCAACGACACAGTGTGTTAAAGTACAGATTGTGGCTGTGCGAAATATGTATACACGCATAAATATTTAGCCCATGATCAATATAATTATGCAATTTGGTAATTAATAAATGACGTGTCTTGCAACAATTATACAAACTAAAGGATTTTCATTATCTGACCATGATCTGATTCTGATTTGTATTTTACTGCGTTGCACGGATTCTAATACGTTGAATTTATTTAACTATTTCAAAATGTGTGCTTCAAATTAAGGTGAAATGACATAGACTCAGCAGCGCATATTGTAAGCGGGGGTCGACAGTTTCAGTGACAACTGTCATGTTATCATTTGTTGTACGATTATTGAAAACATGGCTACAATTTTGTTTTTCAAAAGGGTTACGTGCATATTGATTGAAACAAGTAATATATAATTTTGGTCAAAAAATGAAAAATCATATAATAATATTTTGTTAAGTATAAGTATCTCACTCTTAAGAAAATACGATTTGGTCACCACATGTAACCGAAGGAATTTTTAATTTGTGTATATCATGATATATTTTCACCGCACTAACCACTGGTAAATAACCAGAAATTCGCCATTTTCATGTATATTTGACTCGTTCTGTGTGCGTGCGAAAAGTGGATTAATGGCAATATATTGTATATCTATGAATAGCATTACATGAAACCGTATTGTAAAAGACGGAATAACAAAATCATTTGTTTTAATGATAAACACAACGTAACCTGTATTTTTGTGAACGTACATTATTTCCAAAAGTCCTTGTAATATGTTAATTATTATATAATATGATATTGTGGATGAATGGTTCTCTGGAAAATGGGGAATAGTTGCGCATTGTTGTTCCCTGCTTGTGTGAATGAATGATCACGCGCCACCATGAGACGTGATTGTATTTTACACAAATGCGAGCTATAAATTTCCTGTACAGGTTGTTTTAATAGGTCAGTGTTTCTAGCTTTGAAATTCGGTCGTATGAATGTGGGCGTGGCACTTGGTGAACCAGTCATATCCTCGGGGCGGACATCCGGGCATTTTCTACCGCCTGGCAACCCTCGCGGTGAAAACAAAGACCAAAAACTCGCAGAAAACGGTACTTTGCGATGGTTGTTGAGAGTCCCCTGAACAGTGTAACAAGATTAGCCCTACGTGTGTAACATATATGAATTTGGTTGTTCGGGATTACTTCAAAGTTGAGTTTGTGTTGTTTTCTCGAGTTTTCACCGGCTCCACCGGCGTTCCACAGCAGCGGGCACAAAGCCCATAGAAATACGTGGTACAGTGGTGCGCGTCTTAGCAACGTAGAACGTCCGTGACGTAGCTCTGCCCCCGAGGATACAGGCAACACCTCTCAGTCAACGTAACCTTCGATGCACTTTTTACTGACGACTTTTAAGAAGACACGTGTTTTTGGTAATCAGGAGTAACCTTCTCATTCTGTGCTTCATTCTTGCAGGTGAAGCGGTCCGGGAGCAGAAAGAGCGATTGTAACGATTCATCTTATGGTTATTCACTTCGTGCTACACACAAACAAGGATTCGTGGTCACGAGCGCCACGATCAATTCAGGCAATCACAGTCAACCTCATCAATCGTTATGTCCTCCGAAATATGGAGCTATATGGATGGCAACTACACATGGAATGACACTGACTCATGGTATGGTTCATATTCACCGCCCGACCCAGCGCCTCTTGAGATTTGGCTGCCTACTGTCATAGTATATACGGTCACCTTTATAGTGGGACTCATCGGCAACATCCTCGTTCTCTTTGCTATCCAGCGATGTCGTCGTCTACGGAACGTCACTAACACTTTCCTGGCTAGCCTGGCAACAGCTGATTTGATCATTATCGTAATAGTTATACCGTTCCAGACACCGACTTATTTCCAGCCAACTTGGGAACTCGGGGAAATGATGTGCAAACTATTATCCTACTTGACTCTACTTTCAAGTTCCTGTTCTGTCTTTATGTTGACCGCTCTGAGCGTTGAAAGGTATGTCCATTCCGAATATATAGTATATATGGAGCGGTTTATACGTAATTGTCCGCGGTGGTATTCACGATTTTGCGCGATGTACATAATTGTGCTTTGTAATATAAAATCAGTGTGGTTTTTTTGTTTTGAAATACTATTGGCACCAGTCTAACCACACATCACAATCACGTAATATTGATGTGTATAAACCTCCCACGCACAATACTGACATGAAAAAATCTTTCAACTCTGTAGAAAAGATACGTTAGTGTATCTGTAACACTTTCAATTCGTGTGTGATCAAATCAATATAAATGTATATGGGGCTCTCAATTAAGGTTAAATCCCAATACTAGTACTTTATTACAATAAAATAATGCCGTTCTTTGAGTATGTTAATGATAATTAAACCCGTGGGTCGGAGTGGTGCAACATATCGTATATTTAACCACATATGCGTTGAGAAAACCTCCTGTTCTCGAAGAATATTATTAATGGAAGTTTAGATTTCGTATATTTTGTAGTTCATATCATATTTCCATAAGTTTTGTTTTGTTGTGGTGCCTAATAGCGGTAGTTGGTGTTTTATTCGTTGCAGTAACACATATATACAATGAGAAAACCACGATCTGTCCCTCTGAAAGGAATGAACTGTATTTGTATGAATATATTTTGTAACAGCATGGTTTCTGTTGATGATAATTATGTTGGGTAATATCGTAATATCGCCTGTAACCATGGGTGCTATTCAAGTCGGAAATAACAGTGTGTGGTGAATGGAAATATGGTCTGAGCACTCATTACCCTCCGTGCGTCAACGTGACAGTTGCGTTGTGTTGTTGGCTGCACTTACTCGCTCACTCACTCCACTGAATATACCGCAGATATTCGTGTTAGAACCACTAATTCCTATGATTCAATGTGTCAGCGATTCTAGAAAGGGAATCACACATGAACAAAATCGAACTAATGGGAGTTTCTAAAATATTTTGAGTATAGTGTTTTGTCATATCCTGTTTTTCAATTGGTATAGAAATATAACCCACATAATGTCAATGTAACGAAAGCTGAATGCATTTCTTAAGGTCATTTTTTGTTTTCAAAAGTGATTATAACATACCCTCGGAAAAAAACGTGTTCGTTAGACAGCGTATTTTCAAGACTGTAGATATAACCAACGACAAGTAAACTCCAATTACCTGGCATTACCTGGAACAGTTGGCAATAGACCCAGGATGAGATCTCGGTTAGATCGAGAGAACCACGTGACTTCCATTTTCTCTCGTCATCTCGTACACTGCTCCAAACACCATAACATGCATTAAAGAACGCTGATGAGAAAATAATTGATGCCGCTTAGTGAAGAAAAAATATACTTATTTTTTCTCCAATAAATTTTCGCCAGAGTATCACTCGGCATAACTGCTGATTTAGATATAAACTTCAGGAGATAAAGTTGAAGAAAAGATATCATCGAGTCATCGGAACCAGATAGCTAACTGGGATTACAATCGGGAAGTGTCGTACGTTCAGTCGTAGGTGTGAATGTGTGCGTACAATTGTGCTGCACTAAGTATTTAATTAAATGTTTATAACATTTCATTAAATCATTGCAAAATAAATAACACACTACCAAGCCGAGTTACATTACGGTGACAAAGACCCATTCTATTACATATGAAGAACCTGTAATTTCACATCAAGGGTGCTGATAACACAAAAAGAACCCATCTTCAATATGGCATCAATTTTATATCTTAATTGGAAATAATAGTATTACATTTATTGATATTAATTGTGACTTACGCTGTTGTTATGTTTTCCTCGTTAGTAGAGATGGTTTCATTCGCCGAATCAGAATCAAATTTGATGTACAATGTAATGTCTAACACGGATTGTGAGTACAATTACGGATCGCGACGTACATTCAAAACCTAGATACAGCGACGTGTTATGTACTATCTATAAGAGTAACATTATGTTTGGGTATTATCGAGTTAACAACAGGGGTAAAACGTGTCAAAAATTGATCTATGGTTCAGACATTCTTTAAATGTTACTAAACATTTCATTATAACAACCTATACAGCATCTGAAAGCCTAGATATAGGTGTATACGGTAGAGCATGTGCCGTACCTGACAGCCGCTATTGTATTTGTTTGTGTGTGTTTTACGATTGAAAACGACGTTATTCCCGACACTTCCAGTCAAGCGAATGACGTACGTGAATTGCACGCAGCGTTTGTAACGGTGTGGGCAAGACGATCGCGTTTTAGTGTTTACTTTACCTGCCTTTAACTGTTTTTAGATACGACTAATAACTATATAATGCTACTTTACACTCATATCTGTTTATTAACTTATTATTATTTGCATTAGTATTTTTTGAAATGTACGTTTGTTATGCAGTTTTCATTAATGATCAAATGACATCACAATGCTTACTGTCCTTTATCTTATAAATAATTGTTATTATATGTATATGTATATGAAATTGACACATCCAATCAAGACAGCACGGTGATTGTTGATATTGAGAAACATATTTGCCGAGATCTCGCTTAGAGCGAGATAGTCACGTGATTCATTTTGCCTCCTCGTCGTCACATACACCGCTCTCCTGATCATTTTAATGTGATTACGTGCGAGAATGCAACAATATTTCAGGAGCTAAATCAAGTCTCGTGGCTCTGTCGCTGGTAACGAGATCTCGAAACCCGTCAATAAGTTATTACACATAAGTCATTGGCAAGAAATCTATTCCTTAGAAGATTATTGATGTGTGTAGGCAATTGCGGTTCGTTGGACTGCATTGTATAGATTGATGAGTCATTGCTGCCGTCTTCAATCAAAGATTCAACTTTATAAATGTTATCTCGAAAATTGTATTCTGAAAAAAGATCATTAGCTAGCGATCTGGCTTGGAATTATATTGGACGAGTAATTGCTAGAACACAAAAAATTGGTAAGGAACAAAAACCGCACTTCGCTCGGTTTGGTTTCCTTGGTATAGTTTACTGAATTGTCTATATAGTAAAGACATCCGGAAGTATTAAAGCTTGACCTCGATATAACATAACCACAGCTGTAGGCATCTCAACGGTTATTCACGATCTCGGTGTGCGGTCCACGTGGCTATGTGGCATAGAGTTGTCTTAATTGAAATAGACATGCGGATCCCACGTTATCTCGTGCTGATACTTTAAGAGGGTTCATAACGGGTATTACGTAATGTCTTTCTACCACTGCTTTTGTATGTATATATACTATACATAATTGAGAGTATGTGTCACAGCATTTAATGCCAATACTGTTAAACTAGAATAGACAGTACATGTCAAGCGACGGGAAACTCATATAATATTCAGACAGCGCAGAATGCAGATCATATAAAACAAAATCACCTCCAGTGATACTGAAGAACAGTAGAACAAACAGATAATTATGGCCTACTTTACTAGAAATCGTTTATTACCTACGCCTGCACAAAGCACTACGCAGATAGAGCATTTATCGCCGTATGTGTGTACACAGTCTCTCTAGATGAATTGTGGTATGTATGTTGTATCTGTATGTGTACACGCAATCTCTCTAGATGAATTGTGGTATATGTGTGTTTTTATATTGTGTAACTCGATCATGATGAACAGGCGCAATCTGCGATTAGAAAATCAGATTATAGAAATATGATAATTTTACCAGCTTTTTAAAATCTTACATGTCTATATAACATATATCTTAAGCTGTCTCATGTTTCAGAACTCCTTATATGAAGTTGGGCATTCGCCTATGCTATTGTCGGCTATTTGTTTCGTGATAAGAATGTTTATAAATAACATATAATTATCGAGAAATCAAACATTTTGTACAATTGTGTGAAACCTGTTTTTTTCCTGTTTGGTGTGGATGAGTGTCAGTATGGCAGTCCACTCTCTATTCAACACGTATGACATGAAATTAATGACAATGCCTTATATGTTTTATATTATGTTTATGCAACGTACATTAACCAACTAATGTAACGCACATTTCAAAAGTTAAGGTCAACAATATATTTTAATTTTAGGAAAAATGAATGACATACTGCTTAATATGCACGCCGGTCATGCTAACAATTAAACATAAAGCAACATATGACCTTTCTTGGTTAAAGGCGGAATTCTGTATGATTACCCATTGGCTAATGCTTTTCTCATCCTTTCTATGGACCTAATGTTCATGCATTGAAAAAACGTTGCAATATAAAGGGCGGCGTACATAAAAGACTAGTTCACTATAGTTTCATGTTGAGGATTGAACTCAGAATCATGTTAGTGGACTAGATAAGATTTAAATGACAAAGCGAAATTTCATTGGTCTACCAAATACGTACCCGGTCAACCATAAACTATGAAATCATAAACCTTACCTGTTCATATTTATTTTAAGTTGAAGAAATCTGGTGGAAGTTGGTTTCTCTATGGAGTGTGTCTAGTTTTAGATTTGCTCTGCTTTCTACGCATTATTTATGTGATCTCGACAGAGTTATATCGCATTCACGCATTCACGTCCATCATGCCTTTTTACTCGGGGTCGGACATTCCGTGTCTAGTTATCACATTCTCTGAATTTTACTTCATACCATGTTTTTATACAAAAGATAAATAAACTAAATACTAAATTAAGAATGATAAAGCATGTTTCAAGCAACGTGTAGTCCCTTGAATCGAGGTGTAAAAATCGCCTGGAAATAAATAAAGAAAGACAGTTGCTCTCAAGTACGTGACTAGCGGCAGTAATCAGTGGAATATGGTCTAGTGCATTCTAAATTGTTTCACATGTACAATTGCGTCTCGTCACGTCAAAAAATTAGTCCTCAATTTTATTTGTTGTTCGTAATTTTCATACTTGGCGAATTAGAATATAACAAATGAAAATATTTTTTTAATATTGTTTCTTACAGTCAGTGTATCTTTAAACATATACAAATTTGATACTAGTAGGTGGCATGTGGTGATGAATTTCTTACAATGTACAT